AGTGTGGAGCCCAATGCTTAGTGTGGAGCCCAGTGTGGGGCTGGATCTCATGACCCTGAGATCCTGACCTGAACTGAAGTCAAGAGTCAGCTAATGCTTAACTGACTGAGCTGCCCAGGTGCCCTTTGTTTTTGTTTTTTAAGATTTTCTCTTTAAGCAATCTCTACACCCAGTGTGAGGCTCACACTCACAACCATTTTCTGTTCATCATTTTTGTTGCCTGTATTGGAACTAGAACCACCATACTTTACAGAAATACCTTGTTTTATACAAAAATAGGTTAGCAAACTTCCTCCCCCTTCATCTTTTGATGATTGTGCTAGAATCCTCAGAAATGCAATGAATCTATAATTCTTTTATGGAATTACAGCTGCTGCCTGGAATCCATGTTCCTACAACACCTGGACTTCGTCTAAGTACACCTGCCTATGTTGAAGCCTCCTATTATTTTAATGATCAGTTTTATTGCTTCTTCAACTCAGGCAGCGAGTGTAATCTAGAACGTTTCCCTTCTAGATCATTTAAGAGATAAAATAAGACCATGTTTAGCACTAGGAAACACTGTTTAAAATTTTCTGTCTGTACCTTTTCTGTTAGAGAAGTTGTTTTTAGCCATGTCTGTTATAGCTCGTCTTTAAGAACAAGTCTCCACTCAGGAGACAGGCTTGGTTGTGTAACTTCAAAACTTAAAGCCAATTATATAAGTTATCTATCCACCTGGATAGTAGAAATCTTAAAACTATATTAGAGTGATTTTGTGCCTTATAGAAGCCATATTGCCATTGCTCAAAGTCATTTTATCTTTCTTAAGCTTTTTAGATATATTATTTAGGTTGGTCAGTGTGAGTACTTCAGTGGGGGGTTTTGTTTTCAGATTTGCATTGCTGACAAGTTCTTAGATCTGTGATTTTCTTGGCCCTGTTGGAATTACTTTCTAGTTCCTTCTATCTCTCCCCTCCCATGATGAGCTCATTATCTACAACAGTTTTTGGACTTTCACATGCTGACACTTGGAAGCACAGAGTCCTAATTAGTATTAAGAAACACTTTGATGTCTACTTGAGCTTTGATAGGCCTTTGGAGTTTTGCTGTGGGATATCTGTCAGGGTAGGAAACAGAAGTCAGGTTGAGAAGTTGAAGATATTTTATTTAGCCTCTTCTGTCATTAGGGCTTATGAACAAATATTTTAAATATTCTATTTACTTGAGAGAAAAAGAGACAGGTCCTGCCGAAGTCGGGGGAGATAGTGGCTGTAGGGTGAGCAAACCCGGTCTATTCCGGGAAGCTAAAACTAGTTCTCTTTCGTGAATTAAAATCAGTGCTTTTGAGTGAAGGATCTTCATGCCAACACTAGATCATTTCTCTGCCTACGT